TACATTATTTTGTTTAGGAATGTAGTGAAGTAAAAGTACAGATACCCCCAAAAACTACTTAAGTAGTACTTTAAAGTATTTTTACTTAAGTACTTTACACCACTGCCAGCATATTCAAGTGGGAACAAGTAACTGAAACTGCTAGACGACTAGGCTGTGTCTAACCTCTGACCTCTTAGATAGGAACTATTACAGTTGAAGTCGGAAGTTTACATACACCTTAGCCAATTACATTGAAACTCAGTTTTTCACAATTCCTGACATTTAATCCTAGTAAAAGTTCCCTGTCTTAGGTCAGTTAGGATCACCACTTTATTTTAAGAATGTGAAATGTCAGAATAATAGTAGAGAGAATGATTTATTTCAGCTTTTATTTATTTCATCACATTCCCAGTGGTTCAGAAGTCTACATACACTCAATTAGTATTTGGTACCATTGCCTTTAAATTGTTTAACTTGGGTCAAATGTTTCGGGTAGCCTTCCACAAGCTTCCCACAATAAGTTGAGTGAATTTTAGCCCATTCCTCCTGACAGAGCTGGTGTAACTGAGTCAGGTTTGTAGGCCTCCTTGCTCACACACACTTTTTCAGTCCTGCCCACAAATGTTCTATAGGGTTGAGGTCAGGGCTTTGTGATGGCCACTCCAATACCTTGACTTTGTTGTCCTTAAGCAATTTTGCCACAACTTTGGAAAAATGCTTGGGGTCATTGTCCATTTGGAAGACCCATTTGCGACCTAGCTTTAACTTCCTGACTGATGTCTTGAGATGTTGCTTCAATATATCCACATATTTTTCCTTCCTCATGATGTCGTCTATTTTGTGAAGTGCACCAGTCCCTCCTGCAGCAAAGCACCCCCACAGCATGATGCTGCCACCCCCGTGCTTCACGGTTGGGATGGTGTTCTTCGGCTTGCAAGCATTCCCCTTTTTCCTCCAAACATAACGATGGTCATTATGGCCAAACAGTTCTATTTTGTTTTATCAGACCAGAGGACATTTCTTTAAAAAGTACAATCTTTGCAGTTGCAAACCGTAGTCTGGCTTTTTTTATGGCGGTTTTGGAGCAGTGGCTTCTTCCTTGCTGAGCGGCCTTTCAGTTATGTCGATATAGGACTCGTTTTACTGTAGATATAGATACTTTTGTACCTGTTTCCTCAAGCATCTTCACAAGGTCCTTTGCTGTTGTTCTGGGATTGATTTGCACTTTTCGCACCAAAGTACATTCATCACTAGGAGACAGAATGCGTCTCCTTCCTGAGCGGTATGACGGCTGCGTGGTCCCATGGTGTTTATACTTGCGTACTATTGTTTGTACAGATGAACGTGGTACCTTCAGGCGTTTGGAAATTGCTCCCAAGGATGAATCAGACTTGTGGAGGTCTACACATTTTTTTCTGAGGTCTTGGATGATTTCTTTTGATTTTCCCATGATGTCAAGCAAAGAGGCACTGAGGTTGAAGGTAGGCCTTGAAATACATCCACAGGTACACATCCAATTGACTCAAATGATGTCAATTAGCCTATCAGAAGCTTCTAAAGCCATGACATCATTTTATGGAATTTTCCAAGCTGTTTAAAGGCACAGTCAACTTAGTGTATGTAAACTTCTGACCCACTGGAATTGTGATACAGTGAATTATAAGTGAAATAATCTCTCTGTAAACAATTGTTGGAAAAATTACTTAGTAAATGTCCTAACCGACTTGCCAAAACTATAGTTTGTTAACAAGACATTTGTGGAGTGGTTGAAAAACGAGTTTTAATGACTCCAACCTAAGTGTATGTAAACTTCCGACTTCAACTGTATATGGACGAGCAATGACAGAGCGGCATGGACTAAGATACAGTCTGATGGTCTGGTAATAGAAGCTGTTCAACAGTCTGATGGTAATAGAAGCTGTTCAACAGTCTGATGGTAATAGAAGCTGTTCAACAGTCTGATGGTAATAGAAGCTGTTCAACAGTCTGATGGTAATAGAAGCTGTTCAACAGTCTGATGGTCTGGTAATAGAAGCTGTTCAACAGTCTGATGGTAATAGAAGCTGTTCAACAGTCTGATGGTAATAGAAGCTGTTCAACAGTCTGATGGTCTGGTAATAGAAGCTGTTCAACAGTCTGATGGTAATAGAAGCTGTTCAACAGTCTGATGGTAATAGAAGCTGTTCAACAGTCTGATGGTAATAGAAGCTGTTCAACAGTCTGTTGGTAATAGAAGCTGTTCAACAGTCTGATGGTCTGGTAATAGAAGCTGTTCAACAGTCTGATGGTAATAGAAGCTGTTCAACAGTCTGATGGTCTGGTAATAGAAGCTGTTCAACAGTCTGATGGTAATAGAAGCTGTTCAACAGTCTGTTGGTAATAGAAGCTGTTCAACAGTCTGATGGTAATAGAAGCTGTTCAACAGTCTGATGGTAATAGAAGCTGTTCAACAGTCTGATGGTCTGGTAATAGAAGCTGTTCAACAGTCTGATGGTCTGGTAATAGAAGCTGTTCAACAGTCTGATGGTCTGGTAATAGAAGCTGTTCAACAGTCTGATGGTAATAGAAGCTGTTCAACAGTCTGATGGTAATAGAAGCTGTTCAACAGTCTGATGGTAATAGAAGCTGTTCAACAGTCTGATGGTAATAGAAGCTGTTCAACAGTCTGATGGTCTGGTAATAGAAGCTGTTCAACAGTCTGATGGTAATAGAAGCTGTTCAACAGTCTGTTGGTAATAGAAGCTGTTCAACAGTCTGATGGTCTGGTAATAGAAGCTGTTCAACAGTCTGATGGTAATAGAAGCTGTTCAACAGTCTGATGGTCTGGTAATAGAAGCTGTTCAACAGTCTGATGGTAATAGAAGCTGTTCAACAGTCTGATGGTCTGGTAATAGAAGCTGTTCAACAGTCTGATGGTAATAGAAGCTGTTCAACAGTCTGATGGTCTGGTAATAGAAGAAACCAAAACAGAACAAATCAAAACAATCAGACAACAGTAAACATTACACACACACAAGTTTTAAAAGAATAAGGACATTTAAAATGTTATATTAGAGTTAAAAATGATATTTAACATTTATTTTTTACTCTCTCACTCCCTCCCTTGCCCTCTCTCTTCCATCTCTCTTCCCTCCGTCTAGATTTACATGTTAGTCATTTAGCAGACGCTCTTATCCAGAGCGACTTACAGTTAGAGAGTGCAGAGTGCATACATTTTTATACTGGCCCCCCGTGGGAATCGAACCCACAACCCTGGCGTTGCAAACGCCATGCTCTACCAACTGAGCTACACAGGACTGTAAAGTTCCCAAACTTTTACACTCAGGCCCCCCTTCCTGCACTGGGGAAAGTCTCGCCCCCTCCTGCACTGGGGAAGGTCTCGCCCCCTCCTGCACTGGGTAAGATCTCGCCCCATCCTGCACTGGGGAAGGTCTTGCCCCCTCCTGCACTGGGGAAGGACACACGCACAAACACAGATCACACACTCATGTTCCATTGTTTAAAATGACTGTTTGTTTTCTGTCAACCCACAGCATAGCATTCCTCGCACTCCATTAGAGCCAAACATGTCATTCCACTTGTTTGTTCCTCTGTTCCCATTCTAACCTCTCCCTAACCTAACCAGCTCTGCTGCTTCCTAACCTCTCCCTAACCAGCCCTGCTGCTTCCTAACCTCTCCCTAACCAGCTCTGCTGCTTCCTAACCTCTCCCTAACCTAACCAGCTCTGCTGCTTCCTAACCTCTCCCTAACCAGCTCTGCTGCTTCCTAACCTCTCCCTAACCTAACCAGCCCTGCTGCTAACCTAACCTCTCCCTAACCAGCTCTGCTGCTTCCTAACCTCTCCCTATCCAGCTCTGCTGCTTCCTAACCTCTCCCTAACCAGCTCTGCTGCTTCCTAACCTCTCCCTAACCAGCTCTGCTGCTTCCTAACCTCTCCCTAACCAGCCCTGCTGCTTCCTAACCTCTCCCTAACCAGCTCTGCTGCTTCCTAACCTCTGCCTAACCAGCTCTGCTGCTTCCTAACCTCTCCCTAACCAGCTCTGCTGCTTCCTAACCTCTCCCTAACCTAACCAGCTCTGCTGCTTCCTAACCTCTCCCTAACCAGCCCTGCTGCTTCCTAACCTCTCCCTAACCAGCTCTGCTGCTTCCTAACCTCTCCCTAACCTAACCATCCCTGCTGCTTCCTAACCTCTCCCTAACCTAACCAGCTCTGCTGCTTCCTAACCTCTCCCTAACCTAACCAGCTCTGCTGCTTCATAACCTCTCCCTAACCTAACCAGCTCTGCTGCTTCCTAACCCCTCCCTAACCTAACCAGCTCTGCTGCTTCCTAACCTCTCCCTAACCTAACCAGCTCTGCTGCTTCATAACCTCTCCCTAACCTAACCAGCCCTGCTGCTTCCTAACATATCCCTAACCAGCTCTGCTGCTTCCTAACCTCTCCCTAACCTAACCAGCTCTGCTGCTTCCTAATCTCTCCCTAACCTAACCAGCTCTGCTGCTTCCTAACCTCTCCCTAACCAGCTCTGCTGCTTCCTAACCTCTACCTAACCTAACCAGCTCTGCTGCTTCCTAACCTCTCCCTAACCTAACCAGCTCTGCTGCTTCCTAACCTCTCCCTAACCTAACCAGCTCTGCTGCTTCCTAACCTCTCCATAACCTAACCAGCTCTGCTGCTTCCTAACCTCTCCCTAACCAGCCCTGCTGCTTCCTAACCTCTCCCTAACCAGCCCTGCTGCTTCCTAACCTCTCCCTAACCTAACCAATCAGCTCTGCTGCTTCTATCAACTACATAACTACTGATTTGTTCTCACCTCGAAACACGTTGTGCCCAAATGGTACCCTATTCCCTATATTGAGCCCAGGGCTCTGGTCAAAAGTAGTGCACTATGTAGGGAATAGGGTGTCATTTGGGAGACAGACGATCAGTAGACTGTAGATCAGTAGACTGTAGATCAGTAGTAGACTGTAGATCAGTAGACTGTAGATCAGATCTGTAGACTGTAGATCAGTAGATTTTTAGATCAGTAGACTGTAGATCAGTAGACTGTAGATCAGTAGACTGTAGATCAGTAGACTGTAGATATGTAGACTGTAGAAATGTAGTCTGTAGATCAGTAGACTGTAGATATGTAGACTGTAGATCAGTAGACTGTAGATCAGTAGACTGTAGATCAGTAGACTGTAGATCAGTAGACTGTAGATATGTGGACTGTAGATATGTAGACTGTAGATATGTAGACTGTAGAAATGTAGTCTGTAGATCAGTAGACTGTAGATATGTAGACTGTAGATCAGTAGACTGTAGATCAGTAGGCTGTAGATCAGTAGACTGTAGATATGTAGACTGTAGATATGTAGTCTGTAGATCAGTAGACTGTAGATATGTAGACTGTAGAAATGTAGTCTGTAGATCAGTAGACTGTAGATATGTAGACTAGATCAGTAGACTGTAGATCAGTAGACTGTAGATCAGTAGACTGTAGATATGTAGACTGTAGATATGTAGACTGTAGAAATGTAGTCTGTAGATCAGTAGACTGTAGATATGTAGACTGTAGATCAGTAGACTGTAGATCAGTAGGCTGTAGATCAGTAGACTGTAGATCAGTAGACTGTAGATCAGTAGACTGTAGATCAGTAGACTGTAGATATGTGGACTGTAGATATGTAGACTGTAGAAATGTAGTCTGTAGATCAGTAGACTGTAGATCAGTAGACTGTAGATCAGTAGACTGTAGATATGTGGACTGTAGATATGTAGACTGTAGAAATGTAGTCTGTAGATCAGTAGACTGTAGATCAGTAGACTGTAGATCAGTGGAATGTAGATCAGTAGACTGTAGATCTGTGGACTGTAGATCTGTGGACTGTAGATCAGTAGATTGTAGATCAGATCTGTAGACTGTAGATCAGTAGACTGTAGATCTGTAGACTGTAGTCAGTAGACTATAGATGTGTAGACTGTAGATTAGTACACTGTAGATCAGTAGACAGTAGACTGTAGATCAATAGACTGTAGATCAGTAGACTGTAGATCAATAGACTGTAGATCAGTAGATTGTAGATCAGATCTGTAGACTGTAGATTTGTAGACTGTAGATCAGTAGATTGTAGATCAGTAGACTGTAGATCTGTAGATCAGTAGAATGTAGATGTGTAGACTGTAGATCAGTAGACTGTAGATCAGTAGACTGTAGATCTGTAGACTGTAGATCAGTAGACTGTAGATATGTAGACTGTAGATATGTAGTCTGTGGATCAGTAGAGTATAGATGTGTAGACTGTAGATCAGTAGACTGTAGATCTGTAGACTGTAGACTGTAGATCAGTAGACTGTAGATCAGTAGACTGTACATATGTAGACTGTAGATCAGTAGACTGTAGATATGTAGATGTGTAGACTGTAGATCAGTAGACTGTAGATGTGTAGACTGTAGATGTGTAGACTTGAGATCAGTGGACTGTAGACTGTAGATCAGTAGACTGTAGATCAGTAGACTGTAGATCAGTGGACAGTAGACTGTAGGTGAGTAGACTGTAGATATGTAGACTGTAGATCAGTAGACTGTAGACTGTAGGTGAGTAGACTGTAGATATGTAGACTGTAGATCAGTAGACTGTAGATCAGTAGACTATAGATGTATAGACTGTAGATCAGTAGACTGTAGATCAGTAGACTATAGATGTGTAGACTGTAGATCAGTAGACTGTAGATCAGTAGACTGTAGATTGTAGATCAGTAGACTGTACATATGTAGACTGTAGATCAGTAGACTGTAGATATGTAGATTGTAGATCAGTAGACTGTAGATATGTAGACTGTAGATCAGTAGACTGTAGATCAGTGGACTGTAGATGTGTAGACTGTAGATTAGTAGACTGTAGATCAGTAGACTGTAGATCAGTAGACTGTAGATCAGTAGACTGTAGATGTGTAGACTGTAGATCTGTAGATCAGTAGACATGTAGACTGTAGATCAGTAGACTGTAGATCAGTCGACTGTAGATCAGTCGACTGTAGATCAGTAGACTGTAGATCCGTCGACCGTAGATCAGTAGACTGTAGATATGTAGACTGTAGATCAGTAGACTGTAGATCAGTAGACTGTAGATCTGTAGACTGTAGATCAGTAGACTGTAGATCAGTAGACTGTAGATCAGTAGACTGTACATATGTAGACTGTAGATCAGTAGACTGTAGATATGTAGATGTGTAGACTGTAGATCAGTAGACTGTAGATCAGTAGACTGTAGATCAGTAGACTGTAGACTGTAGGTGAGTAGACTGTAGATATGTAGACTGTAGATCTGTAGATCAGTAGGCCTGTAGATCAGTAGACTGTAGATCAGTAGAATGTAGATGTGTAGACTGTAGACTGTAGACTGTAGATCAGTAGACTGTATATATGTAGACTGTAGATCAGTAGATTGTAGATCAGTAGACTGTACATATGTAGACTGTAGATCAGTAGACTGTACATATGTAGTCTGTAGATCAGTAGACTGTAGATCAGTAGACTGTAGATCAGTAGACTGTACATATGTAGACTGTAGATATGTAGATGTGTAGACTGTAGATCAGTAGACGGTAGATCAGTAGACTGTAGATGTGTAGACTGTAGACTGTAGATCTGTAGACTGTAGATGTGTAGTCTGTGGATCAGTAGAGTATAGATGTGTAGACTGTAGATCAGTAGACTGTAGATCTGTAGACTGTAGATCAGTAGACTGTACATATGTAGACTGTAGATATGTAGATGTGTAGACTGTAGATCAGTAGACTGTAGATGTGTAGACTGTAGATGTGTAGACTTGAGATCAGTGGACTGTAGACTGTAGATCAGTAGACTGTAGATCAGTAGACTGTAGATCAGTGGACAGTAGACTGTAGATCAGTAGACTATAGATGTGTAGACTGTAGATCAGTAGACTGTAGATCAGTAGACTATAGATGTGTAGACTGTAGATCAGTAGACTGTAGATCAGTGGACAGTAGACTGTAGATCAGTAGACTATAGATGTGTAGACTGTAGATCAGTAGACTGTAGATCTGTAGACTGTAGATCAGTAGATTGTAGATCAGTAGACTGTACATATGTAGACTGTAGATCAGTAGACTGTAGATATGTAGATTGTAGATCAGTAGACTGTAGATATGTAGACTGTAGATCAGTAGACTGTAGATCAGTAGACTGTAGATGTGTAGACTGTAGATTAGTAGACTGTAGATCAGTAGACTGTAGATCAGTAGACTGTAGATCAGTAGACTGTAGATCCGTCGACCGTAGATCAGTAGACTGTAGATCAGTAGACTGTAGATCAGTAGACTGTAGATCAGTAGACTGTAGATATGTAGACTGTAGATCAGTAGACTGTAGATCAGTAGACTGTAGATCAGTAGACTGTAGATATGTAGACTGTAGATCAGTAGACTGTAGATATGTAGACTGTAGATCAGTAGACTGTAGATCAGTAGACTGTAGATCAGTAGACTGTAGATCTGTAGACTGTAGATCAGTAGACTGTAGATCAGTAGACTGTAGATCCGTCGACCGTAGATCAGTAGACTGTAGATCAGTAGACTGTAGATATGTAGACTGTAGATCAGTAGACTGTAGATCAGTAGACTGTAGATCAGTAGACTGTAGATCAGTAGACTGTACATATGTAGACTGTAGATCAGTAGACTGTAGATATGTAGATGTGTAGACTGTAGATCAGTAGACTGTAGATCAGTGGACAGTAGATCAGTGGACAGTAGACTGTAGATCAGTAGACTGTAGACTGTAGGTGAGTAGACTGTAGATATGTAGACTGTAGATCTGTAGATCAGTAGGCCTGTAGATCAGTAGACTGTAGATCAGTAGACTGTAGATATGTAGATCAGTAGACTGTAGATCTGTAGATCAGTAGAATGTAGATGTGTAGACTGTAGACTGTAGACTGTAGATCAGTAGACTGTAGATCAGTAGACTGTAGATCAGTAGATTGTAGATCAGTAGACTGTAGATCAGTAGACTGTAGATATGTAGACTGTAGATCAGTAGACTGTAGATATGTAGATTGTAGATCAGTAGACTGTACATATGTAGACTGTAGATCAGTAGACTGTACATATGTAGACTGTAGATCAGTAGACTGTAGATATGTAGATTGTAGATCAGTAGACTGTAGATATGTAGACTGTAGATCAGTAGACTGTAGATCAGTAGACTGTAGATGTGTAGACTGTAGATTAGTAGACTGTAGATCAGTAGACTGTAGATCAGTAGACTGTAGATCAGTAGACTGTAGATCAGTAGACTGTAGATCAGTAGACTGTAGATATGTAGACTGTAGATCAGTAGACTGTAGATCAGTAGACTGTAGATCAGTAGACTGTAGATATGTAGACTGTAGATCAGTAGACTGTAGATATGTAGACTGTAGATCAGTAGACTGTAGATCAGTAGACTGTAGATCTGTAGACTGTAGATCAGTAGACTGTAGATCAGTAGACTGTAGATCCGTCGACCGTAGATCAGTAGACTGTAGATCAGTAGACTGTAGATCAGTAGACTGTAGATCAGTAGACTGTAGATCAGTAGACTGTAGATCAGTAGACTGTACATATGTAGACTGTAGATCAGTAGACTGTAGATATGTAGATGTGTAGACTGTAGATCAGTAGACTGTAGATCAGTGGACAGTAGATCAGTGGACAGTAGACTGTAGATCAGTAGACTGTAGACTGTAGGTGAGTAGACTGTAGATATGTAGACTGTAGATCTGTAGATCAGTAGGCCTGTAGATCAGTAGACTGTAGATCAGTAGACTGTAGATATGTAGACTGTAGATCTGTAGATATGTAGACTGTAGATCTGTAGATCAGTAGAATGTAGATGTGTAGACTGTAGACTGTAGATCAGTAGACTGTAGATATGTAGACTGTAGATCAGTAGATTGTAGATCAGTAGACTGTAGATCAGTAGACTGTAGATATGTAGACTGTAGATCAGTAGACTGTAGATATGTAGACTGTAGATATGTAGATTGTAGATCAGTAGACTGTACATATGTAGACTGTAGATCAGTAGACTGTACATATGTAGACTGTAGATCAGTAGACTGTAGATATGTAGATTGTAGATCAGTAGACTGTAGATATGTAGACTGTAGATCAGTAGACTGTAGATCAGTAGACTGTAGATGTGTAGACTGTAGATCTGTAGATCAGTAGACTGTAGATCTGTAGATCAGTAGACATGTAGACTGTAGATCAGTAGACTGTAGATCAGTAGACTGTAGATGTGTAGACTGTAGATCAGTAGACTGTAGATCTGTAGATCAGTAGACATGTAGACTGTAGATCAGTCGACTGTAGATCCGTCGACCGTAGATCAGTAGACTGTAGATATGTAGACTGTAGATCAGTAGACTGTAGATCAGTAGACTGTAGATCAGTAGACTGTAGATATGTAGACTGTAGACTGTAGATCAGTAGACTGTAGATCTGTAGATCAGTAGACTGTAGATCAGTAGACTGTAGATCAGTAGACTGTAGATGTGTAGACTGTAGATCAGTAGACTGTAGATCAGTAGACTGTAGATCAGTAGACTGTAGATCAGTAGACTGTAGATGTGTAGACTGTAGATCAGTAGACTGTAGATCAGTAGACTGTAGATGTGTAGACTGTAGATCAGTAGACTGTAGATCAGTGGACTGTAGATGTGTAGACTGTAGATCAGTAGACTGTAGATCAGTAGACTGTAGATATGTAGATCAGTAGACATGTAGACTGTAGACTGTAGATCCTCCTCTTCCCCCTCCTCCTCCTCCTCTTCCTCCCCATCCTCCACTTCCCCCTCCCCCTCCTACTCTTCCTCCTCCTCCACTGAAGTGAGCTGACAACCTGTATCTGTATGTGTCTACAATGAAACAGGAAAGTCATGTTGTTCTTCCCCTCTGCAGGGTTCTCTGAGTCAGTACCTGGGTCTGCAGACAGGAGACTGGGTCAGCTGCTGTCGCCTCACACACTCTGTCACACGGGGTCTGGCCTACCTGCACACCGAGCTGCTGAGAGGAGGTAGGAGTCACCTTCACCACACACACACGGGGTCTGGCCTACCTGCACACCGAGCTGCTGAGAGGAGGTAGGAGTCACCTTCACACACACACAGGGTCTGGCCTACCTGCACACCGAGCTGCTGAGAGGAGGTAGGAGTCACCTTCACACACTCTGTCACACGGGGTCTGGCCTACCTGCACACCGAGCTGCTGAGAGGAGGTAGGAGTCACCTTCACCACACACACACAGGGTCTGGCCTACCTGCACACCGAGCTGCTGAGAGGAGGTAGGAGTCACCTTCACACACACACAGGGTCTGGCCTACCTGCACACCGAGCTGCTGAGAGGAGGTAGGAGTCACCGTCACCACACACACACAGGGTCTGGCCTACCTGCACACCGAGCTGCTGAGAGGAGGTAGGAGTCACCTTCACCACACACACACAGGGTCTGGCCTACCTGCACACCGAGCTGCTGAGAGGAGGTAGGAGTCACCTTCACACACTCTGTCACACGGGGTCTGGCCTACCTGCACACCGAGCTGCTGAGAGGAGGTAGGAGTCACCTTCACACACACACAGGGTCTGGCCTACCTGCACACCGAGCTGCTGAGAGGAGGTAGGAGTCACCGTCACCACACACACACATATACACATACACGCATACGGACGGGCCATTGCACATCAATACACACACACGGATGTGCGTCTGCTAAATGACATATATTATATTACTGTGCTCACCATTGACATGAAACTCAGACCGCTGAAACACAGTTCCTTCAAAACATTTTAAATCACTGAGGAGGATTGTTATTTCATGTACATATTACTTCAACTACCTCAATTAGCCGGTGCCCCCGCACATTGACTCTGCAACGGTACCCCCCTGTATATATAGCCTCCCTACTGTCACTTTATTTTACTGTATATATAGCCTCCCTACTGTCACTTTATTTTTACTTCTGCTCTTTTTTTTCTCAACACTTTTTTTTGTTGTTGTTGTTTTATTTTTACTTGTTTTGTTTAAAATAAATGCACTGTTGGTTAAGGGCTGTAAGTAAGCATTTCACTGTAATGTCTGCACCTGTTGTATTCGGCGCAAGTGGCCAATAAAATTTGATTTGATTTGATTTCCCTCTCTCTCTCAGGTCTCAATGGCCACGCCCCCTATTCTATTTATACTAGCAACGCCATGCCCCGCCCACCTCAGGATCTGTCTTTTTCAGCCGTCTATTTCCTGTGTTTGAGGGGTATAAAATTCACTTGTCACTTAAATCTCACTGGATTGATTGCTTTCATTTTACTCCTGCGACTCTTTCAAACTCTTGCTTGTGCATGTCGTTTTTTCCCGTTAACGCTAAGACCACGGAAATGGTTGAAATGACCTGTCAAACACACATTTTACATTTACATTTTAGTCATTTAGCAGACACTCTTATCCAGAGCGACTTACAGTTAGTGAGTGCATACATTTTTCATACTGGCCCCCCCGTGGGAAACGAACCCACAACCCTGGCGTTGCAAGCGCCATGCTCTACCAACTGAGATACAGGAGTGCTGAAATGGCCTGTCAACCACACCCCGGTAATAGCTGAAATGGACTCAATGGAATACGTTGTCTTTTCATTGCCTCTATAAGAACGCTAAAGCTTTGTCGGGGATTTAAGGTATCGTCTCAACGTTTACACCGCAAGAAAGAAAACTTTTTTTTGTTGGGTTTACATTTTTTGTGGAATTTAAAAAAGTTATCATATAATACACTTGAAATGTTTACAGATTAGATGCACTGAAATGAAAGCAACTTCCGAAAATGGGCATTCAGATTACAGTGATATTATAATTATCTGATCTGGAAAGTATATCTACAGTGCTTTCGGAAAGTATTCAGACCCCTTGACTTTTTCCCCCAAAATGTATGTTAGTCTTATTCTAAAATGGATTAAATTAATGTTTTTCCTCATCAATCTACACACAATACCCCATAATAACAAAGCAAAAACAGGTTTTTAGACATTTTTACAAATGTATTAAAAATAATTAATTGTAAGGATTTTCTTCCTTAATAATGTAAAATTAACAGCTGTACAGAAAGACTCATGTGAAGGCCAAATTACAGAGGAGGAACTCCAGGGCTGGATGGCACACCAGTTGAACTATACCAAATCTTTTTTGACGGACTCAGAGGACTGTTATTATCATGTTTTAACCACTCTAACCTGATGTACTCAGAGGACTGTTATTATCATGTTTTAACCACTCTAACCTGATGTACTCAGAGGACTGTTATTATCATGTTTTAACCACTCTAACCTGATGTACTCAGAGGACTGTTATTATCATGTTTTAACCACTCTAACCTGATGTACTCAGAGGACTGTTATTATCATGTTTTAACCACTCTAACCTGATGTACTCAGAGGACTGTTATTATCATGTTTTAACCACTCTAACCTGATGTACTCAGAGGACTGTTATTAGCATGTTTTAACCACTCTAACCTGATGTACTCAGAGGACTGTTATTATCATGTTTTAACCACTCTAACCTGATGTACTCAGAGGACTGTTATTATCATGTTTTAACCACTCTAACCTGATGTACTCAGAGGACTGTTATTATCATGTTTTAACCACTCTAACCTGATGTACTCAGAGGACTGTTATTATCATGTTTTAACCACTCTAACCTGATGTACTCAGAGGACTGTTATTATCATGTTTTAACCACTCTAACCACTCTAACCACTCTAACCACTCTAACCACTATAAAAATGTTAGATTATCAGATACTCATCAAGAAGGTTTCATTATTACTGAAACAGGACCCAAGTGGTAAATATAAAGATCCAGTCCATTAAAAAAAATGGAGGCCTCTTACACTTCAGTGTTGTGATGCAAAAATTCAAATAAAATGTATAGCGCATAGAATTAAAAAGGTATTGTCGGATATTATTCATTCTAATCAGACAGGTTTTTTACATGGAAGATACATTGGAGATAATATAAGGCAAGTACTGGAAACAATAGAACACTATGAAAAATCTGGGAAACCAGGCCTGGTATTCATAGCCGACTTTGAAAAGGCATTTGATAAAGTACGACTAGAATCTATCATGTATAGTAACCCTAGGTGTAAAATAGTAAATTATGGCTACTTCTCAGAAAGTTTTAAACTGTCAAGAATGAGTAAAACAAGGTTGTCCAATATCGGCATATCTATTTATTAGGGGTGTAACGATCCATCTACTACATCGATGTATCGATTTATATTCATATGATCCAACTACATCGATCTGTGCTCGGCGAGTTGGCCTTTTGGACAACATATATCGATCTAACATCGTTTTAAAATGTAATAAATCGATTGTATCGATACTAGGAAATAACCCATTGGATTTAAGCACGTCAGACTTTATATGCAGGGGTGCACATAACTGGTACGCAGATACGCAAGCGCGACAAAAATCAGGAATGCGTAATGCCACTTGTGTTACTACGCGCCTTTGCGTACTTGACCGATCTTCTCATCTAACCTTACACATGACATGTTGCTTGTCAACTACTGTCAGGGATGTCCAAAAAGCAACAGACATTAAGCAGCTTCTTTGGCGTTTCGCCACCTACAAAGAAACGCCAACTGGAGCCAGAGCCGAAGAAAATACTTTTTTCGGAAAAGTGGCTCCAAGATGTGCAGTGGCTTGAAGCTAACGATGAGCGCACTGAAATGTGGTGCAAGATTTGCCGCTCAAATCCACATCTAGCAGACAAAACAGGTGCATTTTATAAAGGCTCAAAGAATTTCAACCATCCTTTATTTGACAAACATGAAAAGAGCAAGGAGCACACGAATGTGGCGCAAGCCATTGCTAAAAGCTAGCCGAGAATAAATGTCCAGTCGCCCACTTGCCAGATGGCGAGACAAGCTGAATGAAGAACAGCGGCAAGCTCTGTTTAATATTTTTCTCTTTCCATAAAGCTAAACATCAGATCCATCAAAAAGCAGCCCCCAAAATTCAGCAGACTGCAACTTGGCTCGTAACTCCCCGCTGATGGTGTGAGCGATGCTAGAACAAAAAAAACTGCTGCACTGAATAAAGCTATGTGAAGAAAATGGGATCTCCTTTGTGGAACTAGGTAAGTTTCATAATACCAGATGGTCTGCATGGAGGCATGAAACACTGTTAAAAATATCAAGACTATTGCCAGCCATTAAAATGCAACTGGTTACCAGGTATTTATTTCAGTCACACTGGTTGAATTTTTGGCTAAAAGGTTACTGAATCGATTTCAAGTCACTGAATCGTTTCGGATCGTATCGTTCTAAATGAACCAATATCGTCCTTGAATCGTATCGACAACCACAAATCGTGATACAAATCGAATCGTTGTTAAAACGAATCGTTACACCCCTACTATTTATTATGGCCATCGAAATGTTAGCTATTAAAATCAGATCCAACAATAATATCAAGAGATTAGAAATCCAGGGCTTAAAAACAAAGGTGTCATTGTACTCTGATGATTCATGTTTTCTTTGAAATCCACAACTTGAATCCCTCCACAGCCTCATAGATGATCTAGATACTTTTTCTAACCTCTCTGGATTACAACCAGATTATGATAAGTGTGCTATATTACGTATTGGATCACTAAAAAATTAAATGTGTACATTACTGTGTAGTTGAAGTGGACATACTCGGTATTCATATCCCGAAATAAAGAAATGATCTCACTACAATACATTTTAATAGAAAGTAGGGCAAAAATAGATAAAATCTTGCTACCATGGAAAGAAAAGTACCTGTCAATTTGTGGAAAAATCACCCTGATTAACTCTTTAGTATTATCCCAGTTTAACTATTTGCTTATGGCCTTGCCTACACCTAGCGACATGTTTTTTTAATTATATGAGCAAAAAATATTACTTTTTGGGGGGGAACGGCAAGCCAGACAAAATTATAATGAATTTGAATTCGGCATAGATGATAATATATTACATATTAA